TAAAAACACTAACATAAATGGTGCTAAAAGTAAAGTATGTAGGCATTATTGTAGCAAAACTATTAAACGTGTATCTTAATCTGTGTGTGCGTATTCAGATGTGTTAACGTATAATACAATCAGTAAATATGTTCTGAGATTTTTGAGCATGAACAGGAATCTTCAAATGTGTATTAAGATTCTATCTGAGATTCTATCTATCTCCAAAACTTAAATACAGACAAGTGTCTTTTTACACAACTTTTGCAATACTTTTCCTAGGAAGATTTATAAATGCATGCAGCAATCAACAAATGTGTCTGGGGATTTGTCAAATACACATTCACAAATCTTAGGACACATTTACAGATTGTTTTAAAGATTTCGATATATGATGTTTTGATAGAATAATGGCCCCATATAAAGTGCTTTACAAAGAATCATGTCACTTCAGTAGGATAATTTGAGACAATCAGATATAGAAGTGTTGTAAATCTGTATATCTGGAGGGCTTTGCAATACTAGTTTCCTGCCCAGTGTAATTGTTTTGTGTTGATTTTGTTTGAGCAGACATTTTGGGACTCTGAATTACAATAAGCAATTCATTTTTCCCCCCCTGTGTTTTGATAAAATGTGCATAACCAAAATGATAAAATGATATTCGAATTTAAACCATCCTAAAACAGGTAAACAGTTTCAAAATACCTGACTTTCAGCAAAGAGTGCTGGCCATCTTTCCATGATGTCCTTTACTGGTGGCTCCAAGGTCACAAACTCCCTTCTTCTCAGGGCAAAAGTAGAGTCCATGTTCTTGTTTAACAGAGTGGCATTTGGAGATCTTTTTTTCATCTCTTCCACAAGTTCCGTTATTTTGGACTCCATACTAGTCTCATCTTCACCATCAGGTAAATTGGGTAGGAAGTTCACTTCAAACCGCTTGGGTCTTTTGAAAGGTCTTTGAGGCGCTTGGCCTTTTCTTTTCCCTTCATTTATGGCCACATCATTACACCCAGCTCGGCGTAGTTTTGTGCGATAATTACCCATTTTAAATTTGACGCTATTTTTCCAGCCATTACATCCATTGGAGGAGCCTGGTTCAGCGAGACATGGATGTTTTTGAATAAGAGCAGTTGCAATATCAAGGTATTCTTCATCACAGGGATATGCCTTGAAGCTGTAAATAGACTCAGCAAGTTTTTCGAGGATCTCATGCTTCATGTACCTGGGCACTTGTAGATATTTCTTGTCCCTCATATAGAGGAGATTTGCTTGGCGTAATCTGTATTCAATGTCTACAGGAAAAGAAGGAATTTCAAAGTTGTCTGGCCATGGAGACCTTGTAAGACTTGACCGACTTTCGGGGGAGGAGATAGACATGGTCTCTGTGTCAGCAGTGCTTGGTGTGGGTGTTGGCACCAGGGAGAGGATCTTTATGGTGGGTTGCTCAGGCAGGTCAGCAATGTCAGCCAGGTTGACGAGTGCATTGTTGAAATCTGGATCCTCATACTGAAGGCAGAACTTGTATTGAAGACCCAGCTTGCCCTCAAGCTGTTCAACAAGTGATTCAAGTGTCTGAGGTTTCTCATTCAGTGTAATCTTCCTAATGTCACCGTCATGCACAATTACTCGTAGAATGGTCCGTGTCCCCATTGTTTGTTGTGATTCTAAAAAAGGATTCCAAAAAATGAAGTTAAATTCCTGTTTGATACTTCAAATCACATCCAGTCAGCACATAATATAATGTCTAAGGGTCACAAATGTTCTGCCTCTAATTTTGTAGGCTGCCAGAGGAAACGGGTCATTCAGATCACACAACATGTGCACCGAAAGTGATGACCCATGATTGCATAGCTCATAAGAACGCAGGTGCTCATTATACCATGCTGTCAGATGTTTGCACAAAAACAATACATCACTGTTAATGACAATGATTTTGTCAATTTGCCTGAAATCTGGTAGAGCTGAACAAGCACCAACAGACACAATCATATCAGGACTGTATTTGATGCCTTCAATGCTCACAGATGATGCAACAAAGACAGTGTTCTGAGCTGCATTCTTCTGTTTCAGTAAGTTCTGAATATTCTCTGGGAAAGATGAAACCAATGAAACTGTCACCTTGTCCATTTGTATAGAAGGTTTGAAAAATGAGGAGGAATCCACATGGTATGCCATCATTCTTTGATGCCTGACAGCCAGAGTTTGTGTGACGTTTTTGAAGTTTTTTGTGTTGCGAATGACTTGTTTGAAAAATTTGTGTTTGCCTTCAAAGCGCATTGTCCACATGTCTCTGAGTGGCCCATGTATTCTCATCAGCTGTGGATAATGCTCAACAAAGTGGTGCTTGGGGCGCAATCTGAAATGAGGAAATACTTCCAAAAGTAAGCCTCTATGCTCTGAGATCTTGGCCTCGAGAAAATCAATAGAATCTTCCGTTAATCTAAATGATGCTGCCAGGTCTAGTATGTCCTTCAAAAGCATCAAAATTTCCCATGTTTGATCATTCTCTGGGACATCAAATCCAATCATGAGTGGGAGAAGTCTTGTCAGGGCCCAG